AAGAAGCTGACGTCTGATTTCTTCAAGCGGTCGCATTTACCATGTTTACTATGGTAACATTAATGGCTTGCATCGCTTATAAATATTTCTGCCTTGTATGGTGATCATAATCCACATCGAATCTCAAACATAAGTTATTTCAAACACTCGCTGCTGTCTGAAAGTGAGTTTTGAACTAAAATTATTTGAAAAGTCTTTAATGCTGGTGTTATAGCTGTTAACTTTATGAAATGATCCGCGGCGCAGACGCTCTCCAGACGCGGAGAAACTCCGCCTTTGTTCATAACCACTCCTCTAGCCCCAGCTGGCCCGCTTTGGCCCAAGGTTTTCGTCGGGCCAAAAAACCCGTTGGCCCCAAGGAAGCACCGACGAGGCACGAAGCCCCAGAAGTGACAGTGGAAACGCACGCACGCTTTTGGCCCAACAGGCTAATGATGTTTTGGTGAGCTTTGTGGTATTCACAAACCACATACTGATGATCCGGTTCTCCCCCACGTGAGCACTGAGCAGTGAGCTCTAGGTTTATGCATTATCCTTCTTTTAATGTGGTCTTTCTCCCCTGTTTTTTAGGGGTTTTCAAGTAGGCTGTCCCCTTTTTCCTGCATTTATATATAATTTAATATATAAATGCAATTTTGGCAGATTTTAAGCAATGATAGGCAGTGGGTTGGACATAGTGATGGAGAAGGTAAAAATTTTAAATAATAGAATTAAAATAATATAAAACATAACATAATCAATAAAACAGCCAATGCGACTGGTCATAAGTAATGTTGTTGACCAAATTCACATTGTATGGGGTCTGCTGTACAATGTAAAAAGATTTTTTTTTTTTTTTAATTCTAAATAAAACTAAGATTATTGGAGTACAAGAAAATACTACAGTAGCTCAGCTTTTCTTCTTAAGCATTGCACATTTGATTCATTGTGTTGCCATTTCTTTGTAATTATTTGTGAAATTTACTAGCAAAATTAAGAAAATATAACATAAACAGCTTGATCGATTTTTTCCAGTTTACATGCAACTTCGAATATATCCAAAGCTACTTAATACTTTATTAACAATAGTGACAATCCCCCTGGAGCAACCTGGTGTTGAAAGGGGGAAGATGTTGATGGAAAAGGAATGTAACCTCAGTAACTCCCCAATCCATAAGTCACTCCAAACTAGTTTTAACCAGAAAACCTTATGTTTATAATTCGTATTCATTGCATTCTAGATTCTCTGAATGTTGTAACACCGTTTATGCAACACAAAAGGGATTTATCGTGTGATGTTATAATACTATATAATACAATTAATAAAGCAATAACGTGGGAATAAGTACTTCTTAACCTCTCATAACACAAAATCAAATTTCATAAATCTCTGCTGTGAAAACCCACTGAAACTGTGTAAGTGTTTATGATGTTGGCTGGATCAGTAAACAAGAAATAGATGACTAGATCGTTGCTCAAAGTCATTGAAACCCGTCTCCACAGAAGAGCTAAATGGACACAGAGTCTTGTATATGGCAGATGTGGTGCATGTTAGCATGTTAATATCTTGACCATACCTTACAAGCTTCTTCAGCTCCGCCTTATCAGTGACAGAAAGGGTGCTTAACAAGGCACGTTTATGGCAAGTAACTGCAAATAGTTTGTCTCAGATTAAATTCAGTTAGCTTTAAAGATGTCAGGGTGACAAGCAAAAGTAGCTTAACTATGCAATAAAATGCAAAATCATCAAAGAAATTTCAAAAGCAGTTCAGACAATCTGTCACCATTTAATGCTTTTCAACTTTTGACAAATATGTAGATACTGTAAACCGTTTTTTTTTAATTGTAAAACTGGAGTATATTTTTGGAGTACATTATTGGAGTACATTTTACAATAAGAATAAGAATAAGAATAATACTATTGCAGTTTTTCTACTTCAGACTGTAATGTTTATTCAGTGTGTTCCTTGCTATAACAATATCTATAGTAATAAATAAATATCAAATAGGTGTTAGAAATAAATTTATGAATACATATATTCTTCAGTGTGTTAGAAGTCCCCAACAAATAAATGTACTAAATATATCATTCAGAGTGTTGAAAATGAATGAATATACTACTAAATATATAAGTCAAGGTGTTGGGAAAAAAAAATAAAAATAAATAAATGAAATAAAACAGATTTAATAGCACAACTGCCATGGGTCTAGGGAGTCCTGGAGTATTTAGCCAATAAAGCATGTAGTGATAACAGGTAAGAAGGATAAAGACCCCATAAAAAGTGAATGTTTCCATTACCAGATCTTAAATGGCTGTGTGAAACCACTTGTGTGTGTGAGACCAAATAAAAAATACCAAGGAATAAAAGTGGACATAGCAACTCAACAATCTACAATTATAATGCCAGAATAACTATCAGGGATTACTCAGCAGTTGCCTAAAAGGACAACCAATTGAAGCAATGAAATTTCACAGTCCACAGCTCTCTTCTGTACATTCCACGTCTCACAAAAGTTGCCCCCAGTTATTTAATGGTTTGGCATTCTTACATTGAAATAGTTTGATGGCCATGAATCAAGAAATAAAAATCTATGGGAAAAGGTTCAACAAGAAAGGAAAACAGTGTTCTCAAGTTTCACAAGAGGGAGATTAAATTAAGGCTCTTCAGAGATCGTATCTGACATTAAATGAACCCCATTCTATACATCAATCTACCGTATTAATCGCGCAGAATCAGAAATTGAAAACGGGTTTAAAAATAAAATTTTTGAATGACACGAACAGTCACTTCAACACTTTCCTTAAGCAACAAGCATATGTCAAAGGAGAGCAGCAGACTTACCTTGGCTTTGTGGGCTGTTATGTGTGTGTTCATCTGGCTGACCTGAGCAAATAGAAAGCAATGAAGTCCACATGTAGATTCATTGGATTAGTCTTTTTGTTTTGCGTTTGATCCTAATGAAGATAGCGTCTGCCCCTCCGAAGATCTCTGCAGGCTTCAAGCATCCAGATATTGATGGCTGTCTTGAAACGGATCTGTGTGTGAAACAGTTGAGGCGTGCTACATTGATAGGGTGAATGTTTCTGCCTGAGGCCTATGGTGGACCAGTAAAGGGAGCTGTGATAAAGACCAATAAAGTGAGCTGTGGTAAAGACCTCCTCCTCCTCTTCTCCCCCTGTTGGGCTTTATGAAAAGATCTCTCTCACTTTCTCTTCACTCATATTATTCATAGATCCTTCAATTTTATTGATGAAGGAAGTTTTAGCTCCCTCCAGACCAACAGTGTTGGGAAGGTTACTTTGGAAATGTAATAGGTTACAGATTACAAGTTACCCTATTTAAAATGTAATAGTAGTGTAACTTTTTCAATTACTTTATTAAAGTAATGTAACTGATTACTTTTGATTACTTTTTGATTACTTTTCTACATTTCTAATGAATGTTTATTTGCAACTGTTTACAGTTACATTTATTTTGTAATTAAATTAGTAACGCCGTTACATGTAACTAGTTACTCCCCAACACTGCAGACCAATATAAGACCTCTCAAAAGTTACATTTGGGGATGAGTTTAAAATCCAAATCATCTGCTCATTCTACAAGTTGTAATGATGTTTTAAATGTTTTAAAGTTTCCATTGAGAGTAACTTGCAGATCTTGATCGTAAGTAGTTTTCTTATGAAAGATATATTTGAAGGTATGGTATGTTTTCATCATTTACTCATTCTCATGACACTTCAAACCTTGTATAACTTGCTTTTGTTCATGAGAAACAGTACGTGTTTAGCAGTATAATGAAGGCAAATGACCAGAAATGACAAAAACGAACCATAAAAGCGAAAGCTTCTCAACTCATGCAGCTCAGTCTTGTTGAGGAACATACTGAAAATCCTTCCCTCCGCAATCTTAGCCAGAAATGACAAAAACGAACCATAAAAGCGAAAGCTTCTCAACTCATGCAATAAGTTTTCTGAAGGCATTCAACAGATTTGTGTTGAGTCTTGTTGAGGAACATACTGAAAATCCTTCCCTCCGCAATCTTAATCAGGCTCATTTACATTCATATATGATATCAATATGAAGTTTGACATCAATGACAACAAACAGCATTGGTTCACATGTGTCTCATGACAGATGAATGCTTTAAAGCCCTTTAATGTGCTTTTTGGGTGATACTTTATAATAACTTTCATTTAAAAAATCATTAACAAACATTATATAATGCTCAACAGATCATTAGTTAATATATATTCACATAGCTAGAAATATGTGATAATGTGCTTGTTAATGTTTACTAATAAACTTATTAAACATGACCTAATGATTAACAGATCATTATTTCATGTAAATTAAAATGCTTACAAATGTCATTAAACTTTTAATTCATATGATCATGCACTTTTCGAAATCTACAAATGATTTTAACAGATGTTATACAATGATTAAAAACTTTTGTTAATGCGCAACACTTTTGCTGCTATTGAGGTCTGATATGGGTAAGGTTAGGGACAGGTTTGGTGGTATAGGTAAGTTTACGGGTTGGTTAAGTGGTCAGAAGTGTACAGGGGTCAACTATTAGGGAACACGGTCTAATCTGTTTATAATACATTGTTTTGATAAATGAACAAGTATATATTTTAGCAAGCATTAAGTGAAACTTAAACCACCCTTTACACAAATGTTGTTACAGCAGCTAAAAGTCCAGTGCCCATAAAGGTACTAAATGATTAGTAGACATTTATAAACATTTAGAAATGATGAATAGTTTTCACTTTAGATTGGGTAATGCAAAAACATGAACAAATGATTCATAAATGATTTGGAAAGATGTGTAAATAAGGTGAATTCCGGTCATTTGGGCCACTTTTTTACCATTGAGATGATTGCTCATAAAGGTACTAATGATTAGTTGACGAATAATTTCCCCTTTAGATTGGGTACTGCAAACATGAACAATTAATAAATGCTTTGTTAAAATGTGTAAATAGAAGTCTACACAACAAACACAATTATGTGATCTTAACAGACTGTGATTATGAGTTAATGAATATGTTAACATGATTAGTTTGTGAAGTGCTTAAAATGACTAATTAAGCTATTTTTTTCACAATATTTTTAAATGTAAAAAGAGCATTATAATATATGAACTGAAGTTTAATAACATTTGTTAGCATTTAAAAGTACATTAACAAATAAGCTTTTAATCATTGTATAATTTCGGAATCTAATTTAAAAAGTGCATGATCGTATGAATTGAAAGTATACCCTAGTGAAAAAAAAATATGCTAAGTATACTTGCAGCCAGACTAATTGTCAGTATACTTTAAGTGTGTTAATGATTAGTTAACTTGAAGTGTGCTATTTTGGAACAACTAATTTTGTACTAAGTATATTTTAATTTTAATTAAATTGTAGTAAAGCATAACTTTAAGTGTATTTAGTGTACTTTTATGTGCTAAATTGGAACAACTTCAAGTACACGTAGTACACTTTAAGTATATGCCTATTTACATGCTTGATTAGTGATATTAAAGTGTACTTTTTTTTGTATTACGAGTACATTACAAATTAATTATCCAAGCACTCCACGCTGCCTTTGCTCTAAAAACATTGATTTCAAAAACATATGCAAGTATGAGTTTCAAATTAAAAAACGCGAGGCGCAAATATGAGTCTGAAATGGTAAATAACGTTAGCAAAACAGCCATCATAAATGCTCCTCGAATCGATGTGTTTAACGTTACCGGGGCTTCGGCTGCATTAGTGAACTTAATTAGCATCACATGGATATGCTAGATGAAACTGACGAAGCGGATCATAAATAACGATTAAGAAAAAGTTCAAAGTTATTGTAATATGGTTTAAATAAAGTGAACAGCATTACATTTTTTTTTCTCAGCGAGCAGTGTTCTTTATCATTCCTGTAATAACACGACTCTTTAAAAGAGAAACAACTCTGTTGTACAGTAAAGTGATGGTGACATTTGTAAACATTAATTAATGATCCGTTAAGCATTATAATATTTGTTAATGTTTTCATGAAGCTTTCAATCATTGTAAGCCATCTGTCAAAATCATTTGTAGAATGATTTCGAAAAGTGCACGATCATATGAATAGAAAGTTTAATGACTTTGTAAGCATTTCAATTTACATTAAAGTACGTTAGTAAACATTAATAAGAACATTATCACATATTTCTAGCTATGTGACTATATATTAATTAATGATCTGTTAAGCATTATATAATGTTTGTTAAAGGGTTCATATGGTGCTGCTAAAAAGAACATTATTTGGTGTAATGAAATGTGTTTATGCGGTTTAAGGTTAAAAAACCACATTATTTTCCACATACTGTACATTATTGTTTCTCCTCTATGCCCCGCCTTTCTGAAACGCGTCGATTTTTACAAAGCTCATCGTTCTAAAAAAGCAAGGTGTGTTGTGATTGGCCAGCTATCCAGTGCGTTGTGATTGGCCGACGGATTATAATGACTTGTACTGTCTTTTTATGCGTTACGTTGCATCGCGCTGCGTAAACATAAAACCATGTCTGCATTCGTGATTGGAGAAATTACTAACAACAAGCCCTACTCTACACTGCCCAAAAAACTCGCTTTAAATATATAAAATATAAAAACTCTTTAAATATAAAAAACGTACTTACAGTCTTTGAGTCATTGTAACACTCCAAAGAGAAAGGAAAAATTGAAATCGCATCATATGACCTCTTTAATGATTTATTAATGAAAGTTATTATAAAGTGTTGCCGCTTTTTGTCATGTTTTGGAGCTTGACAACTTCCGTCCCCATTTAATTTTATTTATGGATTATGACAGCATGGATTTTTATCTTGTGTTCCAAGGAACGCTTGAGCAACTTTGAAAAGATGTGAAGATGAGTAAATGGTAACAGAATTTAAAGAAACTCTTCATTGTACTGTCTTCACTCCCTCTGAAGGTGATGAGAGATGTTTGACATATGCCTTATACAGTAGATACTGTTTTTACAATGTTGAAACAACATTCTCCCCAGTTGTGCAAACTCTTTTAGACTATTCATTCGCATATTTGTTGAAGATATTTGAGTTTTAAAAGACTGATTTTTACATTACATAACACATTGAATTATCGTACAAAAATAGAAATCCTGATCATGTGCAATTAATATACAGTATGGCATTATTCATTACAGTACAGATTGGAAGGACCTTTGACTTGTAGAAAGTTCCTTCAGATGAAAGTACCTCAGATATCCAAGACCTTACTCTAATTAAATTGCTTCTAAACTTCACTTCTGTCTCTGCTAGAAATTGGTGTCATTAGTCTCTTGAAATAAGCTGATTCATTCCAATTATACATCATTTAGGTGATCAATGACACATTGTTCTGTTCAGACATCGAGTCTGAAACACAAAAATCCATGAAGGATGAAAAATGTCTGGTGATTTTAAACAGGCAGAGATGCTGGTAAAAATTAGGATTGGAACAGTTAATATTTTTTATGTTTTCTATTTAATACTTCACTGTCTTCCACTGAGCTCTGGATTGTGAAAAGTGTCATTATATTAGTCATTACAGCCACAAATTAAAAAACGATTTACACACACACACAAAGCAAAGCCTTAATTTTCAACCTCATATAAACTTGTTTGTGTACGCCATGACTTACACAAGCTAACTATTCTTGTGCAAGCCATCCAGAACTGACATTTTTAACTAGTCAGAGTTTAACTAGTTATGTAAACTATGATCACAAGTTTCTAGTGAACTATAAGAAAATATACTTAACCCCCCCCCCTTACTCCAGTAATAAGTTAAATTAAATATTAAAGGATAGATTACACTGCTATACTATTACTATTACTATTTCTATTACTATTATACTATTAGTCATATACGGTAAAAACTTAAACCATACATGTTTTAAGGTACAGTAGATATCAAAACGTATATTCAACATGATATATTTAACCCTGTATTTCATTAAAATGTCTAAAGAAGGTAAGGTTAAGAAGGACTTAATGATTTTTTGTTCAAATGCCAACACAATGTTTATAGCTGCTGAGATAACATGTAGTGT